AGCAGAGAGAGTAGAAAATAACCCCTAAGTGAATAGCTATGATTCATATAGGGCTTTTTTCTCTTCTACTTACCAATGCAGGCAGTGTGGTGCTGGGTAAATCCAGGAGGACATTTACAAGTGAAGCCACCAATGGTGTTAACACACAGGAACTGGCAGTTGTGCTGCTTAGTAGCACACTCATCAAGATCTACAAGAAAATGCAAGATGGCATTGGAGTTGGGCAGGTAAAAACTAGGTAGCAGCCCTAAGTTTTGATTTGTAATTCTTACATGACACTGGCCAGAACACAAACACAGAAAATGGCTAGAAAGAACCCTGGCGATTAGACATTGAAAGATAAAATGAGGTTTCAATCTAGACAAAATAAATAAATTAATTAATTAATACAAAAAATAAGATAGCTCTTTGTATGACCCAAGGCTAACCCAATTCCCTTTAGCAATGTAGGAATTTTTCAACAAAGGAATTTCAAATTCATTCTAACATTTTAAACAAACTAGAAAGTGAAGGAAAAACTGATCCTGAAAAATTTCTAGAGAACTGAAAAGATGCATTTAAGTTGAAACATAAAAAGAAATGTTGAGGCTGGAAATTAATTTGTTTAGCCCTTTTCTGTTTGCTGTTTTTAATCTACTCAAATGAAGTAGTCAAAAATTTCTGACTTCTTTGGTTAGGGATTCTCCTTTGGATAAAACAAAATTGAGCAATCCAGAAGGAAATACGGGAAAGGGAAAAACAAAAACAAAAACAAAACTTTCATCTGATATGCTAAGAGCATTTTAGAAAATGCTGACTACAATATTTATTGAACATTATTTCTCAACTCATAAACCTTCTCTAATATAACTGGGCTTCTCTCCTCATAGTCTCAACTTCTAGGCTCATTTTGAACTACAAAAGTATTTTAAAATGTCTAGCTTTTGGTTGAATTTTAGTAATTTTTTAAAATTACTTTTTGTTTATATATAACAGAAGAATGCATTACAATTTTTATTATACATATAGAGAATAATTTTTCATATCTCTGGTTGTACACAAAGTATACTCACACCAATTCATGTCTTCATACATGTCCTTTGGATAATAATGATCATCACATTCCACCATCATTTCTAATCCCCTGCCCCTCCCTTTCTCTCCCACCTCTCTGCCCTATCTAGAGTTTGTCTATTCCTCCCATGCTCCCCTTCCCTACCCTACTACGAATCATCCTCCTTATATCAGAGAAAACATTTAGCATATGATTTTTTGGGAATGGCTAACTTCACTTAGCATTATCTTCTCTAACTCCATCCATTTACCTACAAATGCCATGATTTTATTCTCTTTTATTGTAAATAATATTACATTGTGTATATATGCCACATTTTTTAAATCCATTCATCTATTGAAGGGCATCTAAGTTGCTTCCACAGTTTAGCAATTGTGAATTGTGCTACTATAAACATTGATGTGTCTGTGTCCCTATAGTATGCTGATTTTTAGTCCTTTAGGTATAGACCGAGGAGAGGAATAGCTGGGTCAAATGGTAGTTCCATTCCAAGTTTTCCAAGGAATCTCTATACTGCTTTCCATATTGGTTGCACCAAGTTGCAGTCCCACCAGCAGTGGATGAGTGTACCTTTTTTTCCCACATCCTCACCAACACTTATTGTTGTTTTGTTGTTTGTCTTTATAATTGCTGCCATTATGACTGCAGTGAGTGCAAAAATTAAAATGAAGAATCAATAAATGGGATGGACTCAAACTAAAAAGTTTCTTCTCAGCAAAAGAAACAATCTGTGAGGTGAATAGAGAGCCTACATCTTGGGAGCAAATCTTTACCCCTCACATATCAGATAAAGCACTAATCTCTAGGGTATTTAAAGAACTCAAAAAGCTAAGCACCAAAAAAAAAAAACCAAAACAAACAAACAAAAAAACCCAAATAATCCGATCAATAAATGGGCCAAGGAATGTACAGATACTTCTCAGAAGATGGTATACAATCAATCAACAAATATATGAAAAAAATGTTCATCATCACTAGCAATTAGAGAAATGCAAAGCAAAACTACTCTAAGCTTTCATCTCACTCCAGTTAGTAAATATTTTTAAACCAGCTGTGTATTCAGACATGCTTTGTCACAAATTCAGCTACCAAGCACCCACCTCTCAGAGGACTTTTGGAGTTGCAGCTCAGTTCTAGATTTGTTAGTGACTGCATCTGCTCCACTGTGCCTACATCCTGGCTCGTGTGACAGCTGGAGTGGACCTACCCTGAGAGAACCTCCCCATGTTTGTACCAGGGCTGACTTCCCTGAAAATGGAGCCCATGCTGTACTCCATGGTTTAGAGAGGCTGACCCATGTTCAGGTCTCTCAGAACCCATGGACCAGCTTTCCCTCTCTAGGGCCCTAGGAACCTTGCTAAAGCACCATCACACATTCACTGATGCTCACCTGTACCAGGTGAGAGAGGCAACTCTATGATTTCTTAAAACAATGCCACTTCATAAATGTGACACAATTAAGAACAGCAACACTTGCTGTTCTCACCTCTGTCTTTTCCCTCCTCCTTTCCTCTTAACTGGACCCCCCCTTCTTTTACAGGGAAGATGCTCCCAAGTCCTTCTAGCCTCTTCCTTCGCAATTTCAATGGGATATATGTCTGTACCACTTATTTTGATTTTTAGTCAGCCATGGTAAGTATGTGGAGAAATTTGGTTAGGAGGAAAAGGGGAGAAAGGGACTTATCTTGTAAATGAATGTGTAAAAATCATATAATTGCTTTCTGCATTCCTAAAGCCATAAAGAGGGATTTACTAATGCTTTTTTTTTCCTTTGTGAAAGAACATAATGACCACTATGCATTTAATTTCCATTTCTGAATCTCTTAATTGCTAGGAACTTTTTGAGGATTTTGTGCCACTAGAGGTTACGAAAATCTTGAAAATTTATTTCGTTACAGATAGCACACACAATGAGAGGTATTCTTTCCCTTGAATTTGTTTCATTTACATGGATAAAATTCTGGCTCTGAGTTGTAACCTCACATTGCCTGGGACTCCCTGATCCATAAAAGCATGAGTTCCATGTTTGAGAAGAACAAAACAAGGAGCAACTTTTCATTTAAGATGGTTAGAACTTTTAGTAGGTCTCTCAACTTCCTTTCCTAAAACTACAGGATTATATAGGATTTGTGCTGTACAGGATAGTCTCACGCAGTTGCCCTTTATTTCATCCTCTCACATACCTCTTAACTCAGACACAGGAAAGAGGTCTAGGGCCCATTTCTCACTGCTGTCTATCCCCACTCCACCCCATCCTTTATCTTCCCTTACTTCTCTGAGAAAATACAATAATTCTTGTTCTACCGTCAGGTCTACGTTTCTTTCTCCAAATCCCTCCTTTCCCAAATATATCCTTAAGAATAACTCATTTATGCCACTCACTCAATATGGAGTTCTTATTGTTGAGGAAGATATTTACAGGAATAAATTTACACAAAAAGAATTCTCAAAGGGTAACTTCTAGTGGAGAAGGGATTCCTGCCCAGAGTTGTGCTGTTTCTTAATTCTTATCCTTCAGGTAAGCTCCTAGAAGGCAGGAATGGTTTTCATTTGCAGACCAAAAAATCTGGACATGGTGTTTAATTAATCAGGCACAATGTCTTCTGGGATCGTGACACTGATTATTCTAAAGCTGTACTTTGCTGGAGATTGAGACTATACAATTTTTGAATAATTAAGACAGCATAACTGCAAAAAATAGAAAGCAGAGTGGAGGTAATCAATTAAGAATTGGCCTCAACAGAGAGTCTTGGAGCGAGGTTACAGACAACTCTGAGACTCACCTGAATGGCCCCTGGGATTTTAACAAATATATGAAAAAAAGTTCATCATCGCTAACAATTACAGAAATGCAAATCAAAACTACTCTACGATTTCATCTCACTTCAATGATAATGGCAGCTATTATGAAGACAAACAACAATAAGTGTTGGTGAGGATGTGGGGAAAAAGGTTCACTTATATACTGCTGGTGGGACTGCAAATTGGTGCAGCCAATATGGAAAGCACTATGGAGATTTCTTGGAAAATTGGGAATGGAACCACCATTTGACCCAGCTATCCCTCTCCTTGGTCTATACCCAAAGGATTTAAAAACAGCATACTACAGGGACCCAGCCACATCAATGTTTATAGCAGCATCATTCACAATAGTTAAAGTGTGGAACTAACCTAGATGCCCTTCAATAGATGAATGGATAAAAAATGTGGCATGCGAATGGCCCCTGGGATGACTGTGGGTATCCAGTGACGTGACTGCTGCCACTGATCCTCTGCAACCTCCCTCTCTCAGGAATCAACTTCCTACAAAGGCGCTACCCCCAGGGAAGAACTTCTTGCTTGTAGAGCAGAGGTCTTTTGGCTTGTTTATGGATTCCTCCTAGGCACAAGGAATGTGATGATGTGGCAGGTGAATGGGCAAGGGGATCAGGAAGGGCAAATTCTACTTTACCTTTGCAGCTTCTTCCATCCTCTTGCAGAATGTAGCCTTTCGGACAGGAACACTGGTAACTCCCTTCTGTGTTTTTGCAGATAAAATTGCATGGTTTGGGAGCCTGGTTGCACTCGTTCAGATCTATGGTTAAAGAGATACAGTGTGACTGCCCATCTAAACAGACATCTAAATGTTGAACATTCACTGGGTTTAATAAAGAATTTTAGCTTAGGGGTAAAAATAAACTCTGTTTATTTGTTGCCTTTGATCACTGTCCTACCCTTTCCTATGAAATAACAGTTTGTTAAGATTTTTAGTTGGGGATTTTCCGTTTTTGCATAACCTAAAATTTCCACTCAGGAATAAACCACCAGAATTTGTGATAAAGGATAATTCAATACTGGTCTTCTATCTCAACTTTAAAGATTAATACTAATACTTATGTCATGAAACTTAAAGCCACCTAGAAATGTTGAAATATGGTTGTGGGGGGCCACCCTGAACTGGAGCTGAGCACACCCTCTTAGCCTTGAGTAATGGGGTTGTGGAACTGCATTGCACACAGTGCGAGGGGAGGCAGGTGGGCCCTCATCTTCGAAAGGAAAGGAAGTACAGCTCTTGGAGTGGGCATCACCCAATGGTGTTTGCTGTAACACAATCCCTTGCCTTATTTGGGTGGAATTTTCTATCCAATGTCTTTCCCCTAAATAAAAACAAGGGTTTGGGGTGCGCTCACTCTCTTGCCTCTTGCCTTCCCTGATTCCCTTGCCCTCCAGTGTGGGGGCTCAGGTCTCAGAGCCATCTCTGACCCCCGAAAAAGGTACTTCTGTGTTTGTGTGGTCTTTTCGTTGTCAGCCCAATTCACACGGAGTGACCCTGACTCCATTGCCTGCGCCGGAAGTGGGCAATGGATGGTTGTTCAAAAAACCTTTTGTTTCCATGGAAATATTTGAGTAGCATCTTTATTTTCTGAAAGGATTCTGTATTTGTGAATTTTCTTCTTGAATTATAAAAAGTCCATAAAGTTTTCTTTCCTTCTTTGTACGTGAACAATGGACTTGAGTGATTTGAGTTCTTTAAACTCTGGATTTTGTTTAGAGCACTCACCGACACAGGAAGTCCCAGTTATATCTGGAGTATAGCCAGTTTTACAGATACAGTGATATGATCCTCTGTCATTGACACATTCTCCATTTCGGCAAACATCATGAATAACCTTGCATTCATCAATATCTGTAAGTTAATAAATATAAATTTAAATAATAAAGATATTATTATTAAATGGCCAGCATGACTATATAGGGGTCACTTCAGTGTAAATTCTAACAGATTGTGTTGAATTTATATTATGGTCCTATCAAATTAAACCAAAGAGATGTCAGCATAAATTTCATATGCAATAGTGGTTATATTGAAATGCAGACTAATATCTTCGTGAGACCATTGTGACAAACTGATCAGGCTAGAGGAAAACTTTTAAAAATAATTGCTCTTCTAAATTTATATTGTTTTTCTCTTCTGGACCGCTCAAACAACGCCCCACTTAGACACATGGTTTTTTTGCTGTCTTGTGCCATCAAGCTTGCCCACTGCTGACATATCATAATCAAATCACAGCAGTGGGCCCTTCTGATAGGGAAACTCCATTCCCCCTCTAATATTGCATGTTCAGAATAAAAAAAAAATTCTTTTACATTCTCCCTGTTGTGTTTGAAGTTAATTCTGAAGAATATCTAATTAGGTAATATTGGGGAAATGGGATCAACTTCCTTCCTTTGCTGAGGAAGGAGATGAACCAGGGCTCTGGGGTGGAGGAGAGACTCTTATTCAGGGCTCCACCCGTTGACTCGGTCAGTGTGCATTGCTGAGCATTAAAGCCACTGTTCTTCACCTTTTGACCCATCTTTCTCCTTCCTGTGCCAAGACAAGTAGTTTGCACGCGAGTTATCAGCCCCTGATGGCCAAATAACCATTCTATATCAATGGCTGGGTGTGCCTGACCTTTCCAGGTTTACTCTGAAGTGTCATTTAGCACACTTCTCTTTGGTCTCAGGAAATGAGTCTTTTCCACCACCTCATTTTGACATCCTCCAAAGAAGCATAAATTGCTTTTGGTCACTCCATCCTATCTGTCCACTTCTGTCTTTTACCACACCCAGTTTCACTAGTCGGCTTTCTGCCACATCTTTCTAACAGAAAAACAAAACCTTTTAAAACTCTTTTCTTTCTCACCTACAATTTCCTCCTCCCAAGGAGCTCAATAAAACAAAACAAACCCCGTAAAAAACAGCAACAACAATGACAAAAACAAACAAACAAACCCAACTCTCTCATTTTCTCAGTCCTTTTATGAACTAAAAACCATTGCTAAACATGGAAATATACAGTGACAGGCCTGAGACACTGAACAGCCTCCTTACCTCCTCCTGGTTGAAGCAGCTTGCGCTTAAAGATGCAATTGTGTCTAACTGCTGGCATAACATCATTATTTATGATTTTTGATGCTATATGTTTTAGATAATTTTATGAGTTAAAATACATACTTATTGGTGGACAGAATTTAGCAATCACTTATGTCAAAAGATTTATCTAAAAAATTATCTGAGTAACCTACAACTGATTTACAGAAAACTTCTATTTAAATAGTTGAAGATTCTTGCTATGCAGAGGCAGGGGTCCAAGTGCACACAACTTCTTCTAGTGGACCACTGACACTTTGGCAAATGAACTTGAATGTCTAAAACACTATAATGAAGAGTTCTTGTTAATCTCAAATAAGCAACTCAACCTAGGCCCCATATCATAGATTACACATTCTAATCTCTATTTCACAGAGAAATAGTTTCCTTGAAAGTAATTTTGCATGATAAATCAAGTACCTGCTCCATTGGTCATGAATCCTCGGCCATGGGGGCAGAGTTTCTTGAAAGCCACGGTGCCCTGGAAAGGGCAGATCTCACAGTGGGGACCCCAACCTCTGCCTCCGTCACAGCAGCACTCAGACTTGGTGACAGGGTTCCTGTTGCTCGAGCCGATCTGACACATGTTTTGCAGCACCTCTGTGAAGCAGTACCCTTCCCGGTTGTCTGGAAGGTACATTATGAAGCAAAGAGGATTTAGAGAATTTTATGAGCATACTCGGGTTTTAAGAATTTGGTCAGATATAAAAACCAAAAAGAATGTAACACTTTACCCTGGGCAAGAAGGGGCGAGAAGGGAAAGCTGGAGACAGCAGTGAGAGAGGAAAGATGACGTCTGAAGGAAACAAGACAAGAAATTCAGTAAATTGGTAGAAAGGCATCGGCCTAGACAAGCTTATAACTCTATGTGCTCCCCAAAAGATGGAGAAATAGCCATAATAGTCATGCTATTGCAAGAGGGGCAGAGAAACTTGGAAATGGAGGCTGGTCACCAAGGGCTCAACAAAGGCAGCCAACAAAGAAATTCCAAGCAAGTGATTCAGTGATACAATTAGTAAAGGAAGAATTTAGCTGCAGGGTGGTGCTTAGCCCAAGGGACAATCACAGTCACTAAGTCATCTCCAAAATATGAACATTTAACCCTTCCTCAATTTTGACATTTTCTCTTATTTTCCAAGCAGAGACCCGGGTCTCAAGCATCCCAGTGTGGGGTGGAGGTACTCACCCAGGCACTCATCTTGGGTGGGGCTGGGGGTGAACCCGTCATTGCACTCGCAGGTGTAGCTCCCCAGAGTGTTGAGGCAGCGCCCGTTCTCACAGATCCCTGGCTTGGTCTGACACTCGTTCTCATCTGTTTGGTTTCATCAAGGGCCCAAAACAAAAAGAGTCAGCTGACTGTTTTATAGAAAGATGGATTCCTCCTCTTCCTCATTTCTGTCTCCCCTAAGCTCCTTGCACAGAGATCCTCTTACCGACACAGCCTTCTCCATCAGGTCTCCGCTGGTACCCAGGTCCGCAGATGCACATATATGTGCCAATGAGGTTCTTGCATTGCATTTGCTTTTCAGTACATTCATGTTTTCCCTCTTCACATTCATCCTCATCTGTAAAGAATGTGTAATCATAAGTTCATAAAAGAAGTTGCATGAAAATGCCTGCCTTTTAAACTGAACAGCAGTAAGTAAGCAATTTTCATCTATGTTATTTCAGCACTGGCCTTATTTCCTTCATTATTTCTTGAATGCTGACCTCTTAATAATGGGAAGGAGTCATCTAACCACCTTTAAACTTGAAGTAATTGCTACCTAACCAACAGATAAGCCCTTCAGAAGCATGATTCTAATCATACCTTTCCTCTATTCCCCTTCCTGGTTTATATTTCTTTGTTGAAGCATTTTGATTCTTTTTGACTAAAGGTCTTATTATTATAATATACTATTTTTAACATAATGATAATATAACAGCTTTATAATCATGACATATGATAACATGCTATTATAAAAGCATAATGGATTATGATATAATAAACCCAAACTTCCATTATGCAATAGTTATAACATGATATGCTATAATACAGTCTTATTTTAATAATGTCAGATTCATTAATATGATATAATATTTGGGATAATAAAAGCTTTGTTATATGTGGATGAAAAGACAAGCATCTACAATATCTTATTTTCCACTGGTTCTTCTCTCTTTCATATCCTTTTATCTGGGGTTGGCTGGGCTTCTTTGCTCTTTACTTTCCATTGTGTTGCATTTCCTTCTTTTGTTATTCTTCCCTTGGATGTGTTCTGAGCTGAGGAATTTGGACTTTATCCTGCATGTGATCAGGAGCTCCCACTTAGGAAATCTCCCGGTTCTTCAGCATAATTGTATTGAAGCCACCTGAGAGAACAGGTGTCTGCTCATTTAAGACCTTGGGAGGAACACACTGGAGCTCTTCAAGGGCCAGGTGCAGGATTATCCAGATTTGCATAATGCAGAATAGTCAGAGCTTTGGAAACTGCATGTGTAGTATTTTTAACGGATGTGGTTTAAGTAGGGTAGATCTATGTGCTAGCCCATTCTTGGAACACAATATCCACAGTGAGGGGGATATCTTCTCTTTGTTTTCTCATATACTCCTTCCTTCATAGTCTTGGATCATTATGTCTATATGACCCCCATGGCACTTATCATGCTGTATTATGCTTACATATTTATATCTTATCTCATATTGCTTCATATTTATGTGAAAAAAATTTTTTCCCATGGATGTGGGAAAATATTTTTTCTTTATATCTTCACATCTTGTGGAATTACAGGCACATTTCAGGCAGGATCTGCCCAATAAACTGACAATGGAACTGTAGTGCTACAGCTTAGGAGAAAAGGTAGCAGGGAAAACCCCTAAATTATCCATGGCCTGAATGTTTACAAATTCCCAGCCCTCCTCTACCAAGGGAAGCTTTGGAGGGACATCTCCCATCATAGATAGCATTAGAGCTTCCTGGCTTAGCTGAGCTTGAATGTGGATATCTCACCTTTGCACATCCTCTTGTCTTCTCTCAAAACATATCCAGCGGGACATTTGCATTCATAGGACCCATAAGTGTTCACACATCGGAAGGCACAGAGCAGAGGATTCTGGGCACATTCATTTATATCTGCAGGAGAAAATAATGGATCATGGACATCAACAGCAACACTAGAAAAAACCTACTCTAATCAAAAGTCGAAATTGTCATAAGCCTGGATGAACCAAGCACTCTCTGATTTCCAGGAAATTATCAAATAAATTGGTTATTATATTTGGTATAAGTAGGGTGATCATACATCCAGTTTTGTTTGTTGTCCTGGTGTAATTATTAATGGTTATTTAGGTGGATGAGAAATTATAAGTCACCCTCATCCAGGGGACTTTTCTGAATTTCTGGCTTAGAAGACTCAGGCTAACCACCTCCCACCTCCTACAGTTATATGGAATTGGGATCTGTTTTGCCCCATTTAGCCAAAACCATTGTGCTCAGAGCAGCAGCTGAACCCTCTAATAGTGTTAACTGCCCCTCCCCATACCAAAAGGTTCCTGTTTGAGAGAACAGTGATTCTTCTGCTCAAGAAAAGAGCATCCTGGATCACTGTATTCTTACAGAGAGACCTAGATCACAGAGAGGTCTTGATTACAGCCTTAAGTAGATAGGAATGACTTCATCATTAATATACAAAAGAGATTACAGTCGATTTCATGGTTTAGAACCATTAGAATATGTTTTTGAAAAGGAGGGTTAAACAGACCACCTTGGTGATCCTGTTGCTGTCCAAGACCAATCTAACTGACTGAGAATATATTGATAGCCCTGATAGAGAATAAATGATGGAATGGTTCATCAGGTCCACATGATTTTTATTCTACACATTTTGCCTGGTACTTAATATTAAAGAACTTCATCAACCAAATTGTTCCTATTATCAATACACCTACCCACCTACTGTGTTTAAGAGACTTACCTTCACATGTCATCATTGGACCAGGCTCAAATCCTTCCTCACAGGTACACTCAAATCCTCCAATCACATTCTTGCAGGTTCCATTTCCACAGGGATTGCCCACAGAACATTCATCGGTATCTGCAAGTGACCAAGAGTATGTCCAAAACATGATGCATTGAGATGAGATGAGCTTGGATTCAGATATTCCTTTTCATTCTATCAGAGCACTCTGGTCTATAATATCTTATCTAATTCTTATTCTATTCTTAGAGGGAAGGAATTTGCATATCTCATGATCACAGATTTGTAGGTGAAATTTGACTTGCTCTGTGTCACTGACAGTGAGCGTACCTAAACTTCTGGCCCTTATACTGCCTTTCTGCATGTCTCCAGTCTCCCACATTATAAAGAAGTGTATCTTCTCCTGGAGGTAGATGTCCTAATGGTTAACACAAGGCTTCTATAAGCAGTCAGAAGTTTCTGCTTGTTTAAAGATAGAAATACATCTCCAGCTCAGCCCTACATTACATCACTCTACAAGAAGCTTTAAACATGGTGGATTCTGGCCAAATATAAAATAGAAGACTAAACTTACGCAAAATAAGAGACCAGAGGTTAAGCAGAATTAATACACTGGATAAAATCAAGATTCAAGCAGATTGTGTTGATTCTGTTAAAACCAGATGGTTTACATTAGGCAGAAGAAAGGCTAGAAAAAATATATTTAGGGTATGACCTCTCTAAACAACTGTAGAGAGAGAAGACATCTTAGCAAGAAGATATAAAAAATATATGTGCCCCCTAACCCATCCACCTGGAGCACTCTGTCCTTGATACTGCCATATCCTTTGGGGAGAGTATCTTCCCTTGGGAAAGGAAAGATTTTTATAGAAATAACATTGTTATTTTAGCAATCCAACATTCAGAAAAGTGGTGGACTATCATAGGGTTACACCTTATGTTGGGGTCCTCAAGTCAGAGAGAGAAGGCAAGAGGAGGACATCGGAGAGAGATCCATGGCAAGGAGGCTCACTGTGCGCATGAACTTGAGTACTAACTAAAGACTCCCAAAGGAAAGTGTTGACAAATTTGTTCTGCCACTAATTCACATTTCACAGTCAAGAGTATTATGTCTCCTTCAAGTTGGTAAAAATGACAATATCGTTGCATTTTAGAGCGCAAAGGTAATTAGAAATAAATTAGTTCTTCGGCATAATATTACATTCAAAGGTCTAGAAAGGCTTAAGAACGTGCCTGAGCTCCCTTGCCTTAGTTGAAGCTGAAATCCTCAAACCTGTTTCCTTGTATGAAGGAACACTTTTTAATTTACACAAACTCTCAGCACTTTTGCCACTGTTAAGTCAGGTTACACCAAATTGCTTGGGAATTCTTAGATAAATAAGAACAACACTTGGATTTAACTTGTAGTTAGTCTGCATTAAGGGTCAGAGGTCCGTCACAGAAGCCATTCTTTGAAATTTTATTAAGAAGGTTAAAGCAAGAGAAATTTAAACTGGGCCTTTCATATTAATGTATAAAATCCAGATAAATTTTGTATTTTACATACTAACAGAATAAGATTATTGACCATTAACTTTATTTTTAAAAAAAATTTTTCATAAAGACTTTCATAACGGTGTCATCCTATCCTCTCTCTCTTAAGACATGTCCTGTGTCTGTCTTCCTTATGAGATGGTGAGGTCTGTGTCAGGAAGGACCTTCTCTGCTCGGTTCACTTCAGCAGCCCCAGAGCTTAGCATGGTGGGGGGCAAATGATGGAGACTCAGCTATGGGTTCTAAGTGAAGGAAACGTGAATGGAAGGACGGACCTAAAGTGCCATGTTGGTAGTTATACTTCCCAGTATGAATGCTGTGTAGCTTAATTTTTAATCTGCAACATCCCAATGGAAGAAACTGACTGATTACTCACCCACACATTCATTGCCTTCTAGAATATAACCAAAGGGACACTCGCAGCGATAGGAGCCATCTGTGTTGATACACTGCCCGTGTTTACAGACATCAGGTTCTTTGCACTCATCCATATCTTAAGGGAAGGAAAAAGTGGTGAATAAAAAGGAATTTTTTCTTAACAAAAAGGTAAGTTATGATCATTGCAGTTTAATCAATACATATTTGTGTCAAATATAATCAGTATCTGAATGAAATAACAAAAATGTGGAGCTTAACTTTTCAAGACAGATGTGGAAAAATAAGGACTAGAGAAAGGCAAAGAAGAGGCTAGCTGAGTATACAGAAATGTTGAGAATCTAGTACAAGCTACTCACCAACTGCTGAATCATCAGGTCCCACAATGATCCCACTTCCATAAGGACAGATCTGGCGGAAAGCCTCTGCATTGGAGACACAAGCTCATTAACAGACTAGTGGCAATTAGTCACAGGCTTTCCCCCAAGCATTTTGCAGCAGCAAAATGGCCTCATGCTGCACATACTGAGAAGTAATGAATAAGAATAAGGCCCAGAAACCAAGGGAAGTTAACAAGACTCCCAAAGGTATGGTACCTACTCCTTAGGCATCTCTGACTCATAACCAAGAAGATACCTAGCCCCTGAGAGAAAATGAATTTTAATGAACATTCTAATTATACCTCAAATTAAATTGTCTTATTCTTTGAGCCTATAATCTTAATTATTTCATGACCTTTTTGTACATGGGATGATGTAGAGAAATAGAAATGTCAGACATACCATCAGGCTCTGTGGGACACAGCTCACAGGGATCTCCCCAGCCTTCTCCCTTCAAGGCACAGCAGCATTCCTGTTTGGAGTGATTTCTGGATTTGGGGGATGAACACTTTCCTCCTTCAAACTTGGCATAACAGTAGCTCATTCGCAAATCTGCAGCATAAATTCATGATATCCTTCAGTTACTTTTCTACTGAAACTTTGTTGTATAATAGTCAATAGGAAACAACCCACCAAGTCAAACGTGTTCTCTCATTACTACAGCAATACTCCATAAATGACTAAGTGCCTTAGCCGAGATGGTTAAAGTCCCGGGTAACATCTGATGAACAAACCAATGCAGTTTTAATCTTATTATTTCTTGTTTCAGCCAGTATGTCAAAATAATCTGATGTGAATAATAAAATCAAACAATGTCAGTTTTCAAAACTGATATCCATTAGTGACTTCAGGATTGGAATGTTCACAGATGGAATCATTCAGAAGATCCGCTCATTGATAGCTATGCTTCCACGGGTTTCCATATAACATTTGGCAAGCACTAGGGTAAGAAAGACTTATGGTCCTAATATGTAGGTGATAGCACACTTTAGTTGTTGATTCTGAACCTCCTCAGCTGTGGAACCAAAACAAAAACCCCAGTTCACAGGTGTAGAGCAAGTAAAGAAATGGCAATTTTGTGGATTGTCGAAAACAACATAAAGGTCAGTCACTGAAGTAGCTGTTGGGGACAAGCTGCAAGTGGAGCTTTCTGCAGATTCTACAAACACATGGCCACATCAGTTAAATTTTCAACAGATGTTTGTTTAGCTCAACAGAGAGGGAAGGAAGGAAAAAGGAGGGCAGAACTATAGGTGGGTGGGAGTAGAACAATCTTTCTTTCAAAGAACACACATATTTCTTTAATATTGATTATTGCTTGGTGACTCCAAGGAAGATGGGATCTCTTAAAAAATTCTCCAACATTTTGCTTGACATAATTTTGGAAACTGACTTTTCCATTCTTACAGAACAAATTGGGTGATTCTAAGAAGTGAGCTCATCCAGTGGTCTGGAATGTGTTTTCGTTCAAGCTCGACTTCCAAGGCCTTGCACAATTCCTCTCATTACACAAAGGCTGCAATCTGCAGGCTTTAGGGAAATGCTTTCATATCCATTTTCTTAAATGCTGACCATCTCTGCCTTCTTCATTCTCTCCCATGATTGTTTTCCAACCCCAGGAAGCCTACTGTGTGTGAGAACCAACTGTGCAATTATGTTAAGGCAAGTTCACCAGCCTTAATTACAAAAGGTAAAAACACCAGTTGCTACAGATTGTGGAAGAAAAATCTTCATGAGTTAAATTTAAAAATTATCTATGGATCTATCTAACTTTCAAACTTTGTTAGTCAAATTCAGCCGGCCTCCCCAATGAACTTGTTCACCTCTTCCTGGCTACCCACTATTCCAGAGAAAATGTCTCTGCAGTTTCCACTCCACTTCCCACCTGCTGAAGTCAGTTTCTGACAGGCCCCCTTCAGTGAACTACCCTTTTGAAGATCAAGAGTGATAAAATTCAGTCCTTGTTCTTCAGCATATCTGCCACCCATGTTAACTTTGCTGAGAAACTTGAAGATTTAACAAACTTTTATTTCTTGGAGGACACTTTTTGGTTTCCTTTATTCAAGTTTTTGTTGTTGTTGTTGTCATTAGAGTCACTTTATTATTTATGCCTAGGACTGTCAACAATTTTATAAAACTTAACTCTCCCCTTTGTCTTCTACTTTGTTGTATTTCTATTAAGCCTAGATCTATTCATGTTCTACTGCTGAGGTGTTAAAATTCCCTCTTTTCCTTCAATTGCTGACCTTATTCCAGACCCCTGCCCTATCTTCCCCACCCCATTTCACTGTACCACCCTAGGCCCAAATCTTGGATTTAGATAGATTTAAATGCATGAAGTTTCAAGTCAGTGTAAGTGACAAATTCCCTTCATTAAACTTTGCAAGTGGGAGTGGCTCATTTACACCTGTGGTCTCCAGGAACAGTATCTGTCCACCTGAGTGCCATGGCATTTGCTGCTTCAAAAATATAATCCATGGTTCTGTGGAATTTTCTCCCTGGCTCCTAATTTGACATCTTACAAGAAAAACCCAGGCCTTAATTTCCAGGCTCCAGCAAAATCTGCTCTCTGTGGGAGATTTACTTTTGCTGGTGGTGGTTCTCTAGACTCGGTTTGTTAATCAAAGGTGCTTGCATTGGGAAGGAGAGCCGTGCTGGCACAGGTAGGTACTTCAGGGCTTGCTAGGCCTCCTGTTTACCAGTCCATCTGCAAAGAGCCCTTACTGACCTCTGAAATTTCTTCAGAACTACGAAAGTCACTTTCCCTGCTTGCATTCCTCAACTCTGGCTCTGCCTCCTGGAGCTGAGCATGTGGCAGGGCTGCTCACAGCTGGGCTGATTCTCCCTGTAATGTCAGCTTGCTCTGTGACAGGCCAGTGCAAATTGAATTAATAGCCTCAGCGTTTCCTCTGGGCTGCCACATCGGCAGATTCACACCTGGTTTCTCACTGCTTTCTTTCCAAGCCCTGGCTGAGCCAAAGGCACACACAAACAAGGGAGCCGGAGCTAGACTTTATCTGGGCTGTCTGGGCTAGCCATACAGAATATCTGCTTGAATCAAACTCCACCCTACTCACCACCCTGAAATCCATGTGGACCTCTGATAGGGACCTACAAGACCAAACTAACCAAAGGACTCTCAACTCTGGATTTCTGAATGACCAACTGAAAGGTAAACAGCTAGTCAGACAGAATAATAGTAACAAGGGTCTATGGAGGACTCAGAAACTAACAAAGATTTGTCACATATTCAATAAGATCAGTTGGGCAGGTATTACTATTGTTTGAAATGAGGAAACTGAGCTCCCAAAACACTAAAGGACTTGCTCCAGGCTAAAACATGATACACTGGGCCCCCAAACTCAATTTTTGGAATCTTAAACGATACCCAGCAACTCTTATGTGGTAATATGGAAGTAAGAACAAAAATACCCACATACACTAAACAACAACAGAAAACCCTAACTCCACACCAAAAACCACTGGTAGGGAAAAAAAACAAAAAAACAACAACAAAACCCAACACATTTTACAACAACAAAAATGTGTATTTCTGGGTCCCCTGGAATTCATGAGACTTAATTTGTATAAGTGGATAGCCACCTAAAAATCCCATTGTTTAGAAACAGCTAAGGTGTTTGCTGAGACTTAAGTATATACTATGTCATGTTTAAGATCAGGCTCATTTTGATTTGTTTTTTAATTTGAAAGTCAACCTGGTGAACCTTGAAAATCTTTACTGAAATAGTTGACACATAGTATTCTTTTTTAGAGAATTTGTGATGTAGGGGATGGAACACCTGATCCTGAGGGCACATTGGTGAAGCTGCATGTCTTTCTGTCTGAAGGTCTAGGTTTGCATCCACAGTTATGCAGGGCAAGTGTGGCTGAATGTCACCTAGGCTTTAGTATTTCAGTGGCTTCTGGTGATACTCCACTGATAGGCTTATCATCATCCGTGTTCTTAGGAGGAGAAGGGGTTTAAGTGCTGAGACAGTTTAAGCAACCATACTTGATGAGTTTTTAATCTTAAAAATCTTAAAAATGAACCTTCTGACATATGGTTATCATTAGACCTTTGGTGAATGAAAACTCTCCATCTTCCCATTCACAAAGAATCAGAGCTTTGCCATGTTAAAAATGGAAGACCACAACAATTAAACACAGGATAGCAAACCTCTGAAGCCTTCAAGTACATTTACCTTGGCATCGTCTTCCAGTAGAGGACAAGGAGAACCCTTCTGGACACAGACATTTGAAGCTGCCTTCAGTGTTACTGCATGTTCCCAAGGCACAGATTTCTGGCTCCTCCACACACTCATCAATATCTAAAAGAATTACACGTGTCAAACAAAGTCAGAGTAAAATGGAGACACCATCAGGTACCAAATGCAAAACGTACAAGAACAAAGTGCAATGGAACTTCAAAATTTACAACAGTTACTAATATGGCATTATGTAAAAATGTGGATGTGTAACCGATGTGATTCTGCAATCTGTATATGGGGTAAAAATGGGAGTTCATAACCCACTTGAATCTAATGTATGAAATATGATATGTCAAGAGCTTTGTAATGTTTTGAACAACCAATAAAAAAAATTTCCAATAATGAAAGCTTTTCCCTGTGTCATAACACTGTGAGCTGAACTTCTAAGTTGTGGTGATGTTTTAAAAATTAGTTTTGATCGTTCTTGATGTAAAAATGGTTACCTGCGAAGGTCTTCTAAGAGGTGCAATGACAAATCTCTCACTGGTTGCTTAGCTAATTGAAAAACTGGAACAATACTGCCCTGGGCTAAGAAAGCGGCAAGAAACTCCACTTCACCACTATACAGTACACAGAAATTCTTCTTTCTCCCTTTTTTTCTTCCTTTTGCTTAGGATTGAACCTGGGACCTCACACATGCTGGGTTACCACATGTCCTACTTTGCTTGGGAGACTCTCAGCTTATACTTGTTAACCTCACTTCATCATTGATAGTGCCCTTTTTCACTTCCAAAATTGTCTCAATTTGGTCTATAAATTGCATGATCACTTTGCTTTTAGAAAAAGTGTGGCCAGTCTCTCTGAAAAAAAAAATCACTCATCACATCTCCCTCCCCAACTTTTTGCAGGAATTTGCAGTGAAGAAATATTTAAATTGAATCCCGAGCCATTCTCTTTTGGGGAAAGTTTTTTTCTATCAAAATATTAAATATCTTGCTTGATGCAGTGGCTCACAACTGTAATCCCAGCAGCTCAGAAGGCTGAGGCAAGAGTATCACCAAGTTCAAGGCCAGCCTCAGCAAGTGAGGAAGGCCCTCAGCTAAATTAGTGAGACTAAAAAGGGCTAGGGATGTGGCTCAGTGGTTGAGAGCCCCTTCTTTCAATCTCCAGTGCCATAAATAAATAAATAAAATATCTCTTATATCAAGGGGCTCGTGCCAATAGTTATGCTCATGTTAAAATGTATTTGCATTACATGACTTTATTTGTAAAACATCCAGCTCAGGAAAAGTTAAGAAATTAACTTATTATCTTGATTTCATATGGTAAATAACACAATTAGATATTCTAGAAATATCTATGCAATTCAAAGTAATTATCTTCTTATACAATGCAAAGTCAGTTTTTCCATCACTACATATTATCAGATTGTTTTTAAAATTTATCATATTCCTTGTGGTTTATTAATGAACTCAACTGCTCTCAATTGAATTATTCTAATCCCACACACCCTCCATTCCCACATCCAACCTTTTCTGTAAAAATGCTCAAATATTTATTTTTGGTTGTTGTTTTTGTCATTGGTTAATTCTTTTTCTTATAGTAGAAATTAGCTTGTAGGTGCCAGCTTTTTAATAATGAGAACAAATAT